TATGGGGAGTTCCCTGGTGGCCTAGTGGTTAGGATTCTGGGCTTTCACTGCCGTGGCCCTGGTCAGTCCCTGGTCAGGGAACTGAGATCCCACAAGCTGCACGGTGAGGTCAAAAAAAAAACGTACCTTATGCAATTTCAATATATTGTATTAAATCATTCCATTCAATGTTGGATTCCTGTTCTTAGGTACATGCATTCGTAATATATAAAGGTTGAAATTGGTGTGTTCTCTGAAACACATTGAATCTGAACTCTGGCAGAACTCATTCTCTTCCCAGTTGAGGGTAAAGGATGAAAAGTTAGACTATAGAGCACCCTTTGAAGTAACATTATTCCTTCAGCACTAAAAAGAAATCTTACCTGTCAATGAGTTGATATTTTGAACTTGGTGTATTGGAGATTTTATGGTATTATCAAGGAAGAATTATATGCTTAGAGATTAGTTGATTCAAGGTATTAATTGCACTGTATCTTGTATATATATTCATATTCACATTTGCCTTGCCTTGTGGGAAAGATTTTCATCAAACCTTTGTTCAAAGTCACATTCAGAGAAAGTTAAGAGTTTAAGATGATTATGTATATAGATGTAGGCATTAAATAATTCATTATCTTCTGTTGTCATGCCCCAGTATTTACATATAGAAATACATGTTACTTCTTTCAAAACTATAAATTTTTCCCAAGGGAGAATAATTATAACTTCTGCTGAATGAATATCTACCAAGTACTAGTTATTTTATGCTCTTTCTATCCTTTCAGCAGATTTTCAAGACAACTCTATAGGTTATTTTCTACTATTTCTGATCTTTTCAACAAATTGTGTAAGGCACGTGATGAGATTTGTTTGCCAAATGTAGAATTCAAAAGACAGGTAAAGAAAACTGTGTAGTTAGGAGTGAGACACAGATACTTAATTTGAAATCCTTGAGGAGGAGAAGGTGATATATATATGATAGCTATCATATAACGTACAATCTGAAAGTTTCTCTAGGATGAGGTTATGTCCTTTGAGGGTTTAGGAGATGGAGAAATTACTTTCAGGTGGAAGACTGAAGATTAGTAGAATGTGAACTTAAAGACATGGGAATTGGGAAAGGTACTCCAGGCCGAGGGAAGAGCATGGAGCAAATTCCAGGAGACTGAATGTGTGAGGAAAAGAGGAGTAGTTTGGTTTGGCGGGAGGGAAAGAGGAATGGTAGGAAATGAACCCTGGAACCCTAAGTTAGTCAAACAAAATAATTTGTTCTTTATTCTATAGAGAATGAATTTTTGAAGACCTTTTTACAGGAAAGTGTGCCTTAGGAAGATTTCATATTGTGTATAAAATGGATAAGAGTGGAGAGAGATTGTTGGTAGGCAGAGCCATTTTAAGGCATTGCAGCAAATAATACTGGCAAGAGATAACAAGGGATAGAATTATTGTAGCAAGAATAGGAGTGATAGGAAGGAGGAGAGTAAAAAAATAAATAACAGTTATATAATCATGCTTACTATGGGTCAGGCACTATTCTAAGAGCTTCACATATGTTATTTAATTCTCACAACAATAGTATGATATGGGCCCTGTTACTATTCCAATTTAACAGATGAGGAAATTAGAACTTTTCAGGATTGATTGAGGGATAGTAACTTGTTGCTATCAATTGTTAAATTATGGGACATCTATGGAATGGAATACTATGAAACCATGAAAATTGATGCCATAGAAGTATGTCTGTTGCTTTGAAAATATGTTCACTATGTGTTAAAGCAGGTTTACAGTAAATACAATATTTCTGTTTTGTTCTACTTTGAATGAATATGCTAATTGTCAATTTTATAACTTTTATGACATTTAAAAAAAGTGTATGTTTCTCTCTTCTTTACCCCCACCCCAAACTCCCTCTCCCCAAGGGTAGCTATTATTAATAGCTTGGTGAGTATCCTTCCAGTTAACAAGTAGATATATGCAAAGTAAATTTTATTTTATCAAAATAATATATGCAACAGTTTTAAAAGTCATAGTGCAAAAAGCCTTTTAACAAAGGACAGCATCACTGATATGTTCTCCTCCATCCTGCTCTTCTTCTTTTCTTCACAAGTCTTTTCTGAAATACCTATTTGAGTCCACTGTATCTCTGCAATCTTTATGTGAAATTATAGTGATATAAGCAGTAACATCCATGCAAGAAAAACACCATCAATAACATCTATGGTAGAAAAACATCATACTGCAATACAGCTTCTGTTCCTTTGTTTTATGAAGTGCCAAAACAAAATTAACTTTATGGTTGCAAAACTTTTTCCATTGCTCCAGCCCACGTCATTCTGTACAATGTTTGTTTGGTTCATAGAGTATTTATTGAAAAGCATTAAGAACGCTTATTCAGCTTGTGAACAAGAAAGGGAAAAATAAAGGGCTAATTATTAACTAATTCAGGCTTACTTGTTCATTTTATAAATGAATCAGATCCTGTTTTTTTCTTTTCCCATCTTGTTGTCTATCATTGACCTGCTTGTACTACATAAAAACTTTTCTACCAAAAAAGTCAAATATGGTGAACTCTTGCTACTTACTACCAGCTCTGGTAGAGAAGATACTGAAACTAATACTACAAAAGAGATTTGAGGATTATCTCTGCCTTGGATTATCCTCCCAGTACATTTTAGTTTTGTACTGTTTAAATTTAAGAAAACTTAAAATTGCTAGTTCATTCAACTTCTTAATTTTTGATCTGAATACTACAGGCTCTAAAATTTCTTTTGCCAAGCAAATACAGAAAACTAGATGCTTCCCAATAAACATTTATCACCAAACATGATAAGTTATTTATAGTTACAGATAATTCTACAAAACTTAGATACTTTTATATTGCTCTAACAACAAACAACAACAATATTCTCCCCAAAGTATTTACACATTGGTAGTGGTGGGTTGGGATGGGGATTGGGTATTGGGCGGGTAACTCCAAACCAAGACAGAAAGGGGATGTGGTGAAATATAAATGTGAGTATATATTTGTTTACGGACAACTGTGAGACTTCCTAGGGTGAAATGGTGTGATGTCTTTAACATCCTCATGAGTATAGTACTGTGACTTCCCAGGCCTGTAGAGATGATGATTCCTAAAGGGGAAGGAATATCAAACTTGACTAGGTATACTGATGTCACTAATAACTACAGTTGTAGAAAATTAACAAGACTTTCTTGGTGAAATTATGGGATCAGAATGGGCAAAGACAACAAAATGATCTATTCTGAATAATCTTCTAGAAAAATGCTGTCCAGTAGAACTTTCTGCAGTGATGGAAGTGTTCTTCACCTGTGCTGTCCAATATGGTAGCTACTAGGCACACATGTAGCTCTTGAGAGGCCTTGAAATGTGGCAAGTGTGACTGAGGAACTGAATTTTTAATTTTAATTAATTTAAATGGCTACATGTGCCTAGTGGCTACCATATTGAACAATGCAGTTCTGAAATATGCCTTTCCATTCATTTTAACCACTCCTTCTCACAAGTAAGACACAATCATTATTCTGAAAGAGCACATGGCCTGTAGAAAAGGCAGATAGATATTTAAGATGAAAAACAAAGAAGAAACAGTAGAGAGGAAATAAGATATATCCAGCTGAGAGGAACAGAATCTAGATGAAATATTAGAGAAAATTAACATGAGGCAAACAATGAGGTTGAATCTTCCAGGGGTGATATCTCTTTTGGATTTGCTCTTGTGGGCTACTCCATTTCTTCCCAATGGAAGATGCAAAGTAAGCAGTCTTCTGCCTCTGCCCCAAAATTTCCCCAGATATCTATCATGCATAAGACTTACTGATAATTATTTCATTGAAAAAAGATCCATAGCTCCACCTGCATCATGAAACCTTTTTTGAAAAAATTAATCTGGCATTCTCTACACTCAGAGAGTTAATGCCACATAATTTAACATCTATTTATTATCAAATTCTTTTTCTTTAATTATATTAGAAATTTGAAAATGGGCATTACACTTTCTCTCTCGTACATAGATAATTACGATTGCTCAGAGTGATTAAATAGGATGTTACCTTTTTTTCCAGTAGAATATGTTCTAGACTTTACAAGGTGGCTTTCCTATATGAACTTGAATTTATTTCACCAAGTTTCGACAATGAGATCAGTTCATTTAATTACTTTATTTCGTTTTTTAAATATTTATTTATTTTTGGCTGCGTTGGGTCATAGTTGTGGCACACGGGCTTCTCTCTAGTTGTGGCGCTCTGGCTCCAGAGCACGTGGGCTCTGCAGTTGCAGTGCGTGAGCTCCAGGGTGCTTGGGCTCTGTAGTTGTGGCACGCGGGCTTTCTAGTTGTGGCACACAGGCTCAGTAGTTGAAGTGTGCAGGCTTAGTTGCCCCACAGCATGTGGGATCTTAGTTCCCCGACCAGGGATCGAGCCTGCATCCCCTGTGTTAGAAGGCGGATTCTTAACTACTTGGACCACCAGGGAAGTCCCTACTTTCTTTATATGTTTTTTTTTTTTTTTTTTTTGTGGTACGTGGGCTTCTCACTGCTGTGGCCTCTCCCGTTGCGGAGCACAGGCTCCGGATGCACAGGCTCAGCGGCCATGGCTCACGGGTCCAGCCGCTCCGCGGCATGTGGGATCTTCCCAGACCGGGGCACGAACCTGCGTCCCCCGCATCGGCAGGCGGACTCTCAACCACTGTGCCACCAGGGAAGCCCCTTTATATGATTTTTATGTTTACAAATTAAACTTTGCTAACAGTCACCCTTATTTAATGAAAGTTAGCAATTTAATTTAGGAACTTTATTAAAAAATACTGAGAAATTTGTGCTGTAATTTAAAAAAATTATATGATTTCTGGAAACAGTAATTTATATATAAGCTGGAAATAATAAGATGATAAGAGGTAAAAAAGGTGATGGGGTGGCATTTCAAATTTTAGAATAACATGATTTTACATTATATCTTCTAAATATATATTTTGAAGAATTTAAATAATATTTTCCTCTCTCTAGATTTTTGCTTCAGTGTCTTGAAGACCTTGATGCCAATCTGCGAAAATTAAACTCTCGTCTGTTTGTGATTCGTGGACAACCAGCAGATGTGTTTCCCAGGCTTTTCAAGGTTATTGGAAAAATCTTTGCATAAAAAAATAATCTTTTGTCAGAGAAGACACGTATTTGGGGTAAAGTATGGGAAATATAAGTGCTTTTAAATAAAATATTGTGGATATTTTCTCTATTTAATAAAAATGTTACACAGTGTAAAATCAGACAGTGAAAAAAATGATTTACAATGAAAAGTTTCTTTCTTCTACCTTAAACTGACAGTTCCCCTCTCAGAAGCAACAACTACTACCAGTTTGTGTATTCATTAGAAATATTCTTTGCACAAATAAGAATGCATATGTGTATGTGTTTATATACACATATTTGTGTTTGTGTGAATGTTAACCATCCCCCCTTTTTAAAACCAAGGTGAGAACACGCTATGTTATACCATTCTATGCCATGCTTTATTCACATAACCATATATTTATATTTTGGAGATTGTTCCATGTTACTTTCTCAGTCTTTTTTTTTTAAATTTATTTATTTATGTTTGGCTGTGTTGGGTCTTTGTTTCTGTGCGAGGGCTTTCTCCAGTTGCAGCGAGCGGGGGCCACTCTTCATTGAGGTGCACGGGCCTCTCACTGCCGCGGCCTCTCGTTGCGGAGCACAGGCTCCAGACGCGCACGCTCAGTAGCTGTGGCTCACGGGCCTAGTTGCTCCGCGGCATGTGGGATCTTCCCAGACCAGGGCTCGAACCCGTGTCCCCCGCATTGGCAGGCAGACTCTCAACCACTGTGCCACCAGGGAAGCCCCACTTTCTCAGTCTTTTAAATGGCTTCATAGTACTGCATTGTATAGATATGCTGTTAATTTTTTTTTAATTAAAGTATAGTTAACTTACAATATCATTAGTTTCAGGTGTACAACATAGTAATGCAATATTTTTATAGATTACACACCATGCAAAGTTATTATAAAATATTGACTATATTCCCTGAGCTGTGTATTATATCCCTGTGACTTATTTATTTTATAACTGGTAGCTTATACCTCTTAATCCCATTCACCGGTTTCACCCCTACCCCTACCCCACTCCCCTCTGGTATCCACTAATTTGTTCCTTTTGGGATTTTTTGGTTTTTTAAAATTTATTTATTTATTTATTTATTTGGCTGCTTTGGGTTTTTGTTGCTATGCCCGGGCTTTCTCTAGTTGCAGTGAGTGGGGGCTACTCTTCGTTGCAGTGTACAGGCTGCTCATTGTGGTGGCTTCTCTTGTTGCAGAGCATGGGCTCTAGAGTGCATGCTCAGTAGTTGTGGCACACGGGCTTAGTTGCTCCACAGCATGTGGGATTTTCCCGGACCAGGGATCGAACCAGTGTCCCCTGCACTGGCAGGCGGATTCTTAACCACTGCGCCACCAGGGAAACTAATTTGTTCTTTGTATCTGGTGAGCCTATGTCTGTTTTGTTATATTTGTTTGCTTGTTTTTTAGATTCCACATATAAGTGAAAACATACAGTATTTGTCTTTCTCTGTTTGACTTATTTTCACTTATCATAATGCCCTCCAGGTCCATCCACATTGTCACAAATGGCAAGATTTCATTCTTTTTTATGGCTGAGTAATCTTTCAGTTTGTGAGTGTGTGTGTGTGTGTGTGTGTGTGTACATCTTTATCCAGTCATCTGTTGGAGGGCTCTTAGGTTGCTTCCATATATTGGATATTGTAAATAATGCTGATATGAACATTGCGGTACATATATCTTTTTGATATAGTGTTTTTGTTTTCTTCAGATAAATACCTAGGAGTGGAATTGCTGGATCATATTACCATATTATCTGTGTTCTATTTTTAATTTTTTGAGGGTATAATTTATTTCACTAGCTTCCTATTGAACATTTAGTTATTTTTCCACAGGCCTTTTGCTAATGCAAGTAATGCTGTCAGTGAACATCCTTGTTCACAAAAGAGAAATCTTTGCTCACATGTGCCAGTACATTTGTGGGACAATTCTTATAAGACTTTCTGAGTCAAAGGGCTGTAACAATTGACATGCTACAAAACTGTAATGTTTTTAACTTGGTAGAATCTTAAAAATCTCCTAATCTTATTTCCCCCCCTTTTTTCCAAATGAAAAAATTAGTCCTAGAGAGATTAAATGAGCTAAACCTAGGTCATAAAACTAGCTCATGGAAGCATTCAGACCAGAAACTGAGTTTTCTGGCTTTGTTAATCGATCCCTTCCTATTTACTACCATTAGTATTCCTAATGTATATCTGTTTTTCTCTTGCAGCTGTTTGATTCATCAAATTTTTATAATAGCATTGTTTCTACTTCTAATGCACAAGAAAACAGTTCCTTTTCCTGAATGAAATATCCACAGTGCTGGGAATCAAACCAACACTACCTAGCCTTTTTTTCAGCAGTGTGAAAGAACCTTTTAATGTTTAGAGTTTGGCTAATACAGCAGTTGTAGCTAGTGAAAATTTATTTTATAAAAGTTTTCGGGCTTCCCTGGTGGCACAGTGGTTGAGAGTCCGCCTACCGATGCAGGGGACACGGGTTCGTGCCCCGGTCCAGGAAGATCCCACATGCTGCAGAGTGGCTGGGCCCGTGAGCCATGGCCGCTGAGCCTGCACGTCTGGAGCCTGTGCTCTGCAACGGGAGACGCCACAACAGTGAGAGGCCCGCGTACCGAAAAAAAAAAAAAAAACAAAAAAGTTTTCTTACTACTATAGCTACTTAGAGTCAGAATTTAACCTAGGTACATGGAAGAGCTCTGAGAAGAAAGGATATCAAAAACAATGGTGATAGTTTATCAGCATCTAACAAGTATAAAAGTATATGTGAATAACTGCTCAACCCTATCTAAATCCATGTGTTATAAGTAAAATGAATCTTAAGAGGATTTTAAGTACCTTTAAAATAACAAAACATTTACGTGCTTTAAAAAAAATGGTTTAACTCCACAAGTCTTTTGTGTTCTTTATTTTGAGCTTTCTTCTGCCTGAAGTAACATATTATTGGATCAAACTATCTTCTGTATATAGATGATGTCCTGTCTTGTTACTTTGGCAGAGAGGCAATGGTTTCTGCAAGGGCCATAAAATACAGATACGTGAATATACTTTAATATACCTAGAGTGCTTATTATTGTATTCTGATACAGTAGTCTATATAAAATGTCGTTTATGAAAACTTCCAGATTTATTTAATATGTCTGAACCATAGAAGAGTTAATTCCTCTTTTTATTGTATTGATATTTTCATTTTTACTTTTTGTTTAGAGGTACTATATGCATGTGTTTCCAAAAAAGAGCCTAAGAGTACCTACGATAAAAAGCAGGTCTCCTTCTCACCCCTAACCCTTACACCCCCAGTTTCTCTGAGTAGGAAGATTCTTTTGTCAGTAACTAGCTGACTCATTTACATTACTGTCTCTGGTTTTATTATTCTAGTACAGCAGATAGTGAGGACTTTCATAGGTAAGTAATCCAGCTTCCCACATTGGAGGTAAAAGTGGTTTAGACCCGATAAAACCTTTAGTTTACTGGGGTGGAAATAGTGGTTTCAGTACTGACGTCTCCTCTAGTGTGCACCTTCTTTCTATAGCATTCACTCATTTTATTCTGTTTATACTCAGTAGATTTAGGAATGGGGCCAGAGCATTTTTATAAACACATTTTTACACACATCTATGTTGGATAAACTTGTTTTTTCTTATGTGTTTTCTACTTAGAATTTTTCTCAGTTAAATTCTAACTTAATATAAGCTGACAACATGGCTTTTTTTTTTTTCTTTTCATGTTCTACTGAAGAAATGATAAACTTAGCAGACACTAGCCTAGGCAAAACTTGAATGACAGTATTAATCATAGGTGTCTTATATAAATTATTATTATTATGCAGTTAAATCTTATATCTTCTACATTTGCTGCCAGAGTGATAAGCTACCAAGACCACGCATATTCTAGGGCCTGCAGAAACTTTTTTTTTTTTTTTTTGCAGAAACTTTTTATGAAGAGTTTAAAGTATCGGTTTAAAACATTCTCATTATATCCAAGAAACAGAGACATGTGTCTAAAGTCTTTATAGATGGCCACACTGAAGCATAATAAAATGTTTTTTCAAAATCACAGAATAAATCAAAGAAGAACATATAAAGCCACTAACGTTTCACATGCATAAATTTATATTATGCTTTTTGAGTCATTTTGGATTCTTGCTTTATTATTTCATGGTACATGCTCATTTGAATAAGATAATTCATTCAACAGATATTGATTGAGTGCCTGCTATGTACATGGCAGTGTTCAAGGTGCTGGGGCTATACTGGTGAACCAAACAGAAAAAGTTCCTACCTTCACTGAGCTTACACTATATTGGGAAGCAGGCCAATAATAAGTAAATATGTAATGTCAGGTGGTGATAGGTACTAAAATAAAATGTGGGATAGAAAGTCCCAAGGTGAGGGAAGGATAGTTACTTTATATGGAATCATGGAAGGCCTCACTGATAAGGTAGCCTTTGAGCAAATATATGAAGAGATTGAGCCATGCATATATCTGGGGTGTGATATATTGAATCCACAAAATTTTGCAGCTTGTTCATCAAAAGGTAGAGTTTATTTTCTCACTCCCTTAAATCTGGGTTGGCCTTATATCTTGTTTTCACTAAGTGCCAAAGGAGATGCTGAGTGCCAAAGGAGATACCAAGTTTCAAATCCTAGGCCTCAAGCGACCTTGCAGCTTCTACCTTTGCCCACTTGGAATGCTCCTTGTACCATGTAAGGACTGGGCTAGAATGTCAAATTATGGGAGACCACGTTTAGAGAGAGTGGGCCAACCAACAGGCAGCACCAAGGTCTGAAATGTGTGAGAGAGGTCATTTAGATGCTCTGGCAGCAGCCAAGCTGCCAGCCGACTGCAAGCTTGTGAGTGAGCCCAGGTGAGACCAACAGAAGAACCATCTAGTTAACTGACAGACTTGGAGAATTAATCAGTTATTTTAAGCTGCTAAGCTACTGCAGCTTGGGGAAAGAGTGTCACAGGCAGAGGAAACAGCAGTTAC